GGCACATCTGGCCTCCTTCCTGTCCTCTGGGCAGAGCAACCCCTGTGGTACAATTCATCCTGCATAGCTCTCCCTGGAATCAGGCTGCATCTAACTTCCTCTTTCTTAGGTCCTCCCCCTAAGGCTCTATTTCTCAGGCTCTATTTCTAGGAAGCTCAACCTAACACTGTTTAATTACCTAACTATTTAGATTCTAGAAGAAATTGTTTAGACTCTAGAGACAAACCCAAAAAAGTGAACAGCTGGGCCACTATCCACTAGGGTTACCGTGACTGGAATTAGTAACCATTTCCATAGCTGATGGACATTGTTCATCTTTCTTTGATTATCAGAAACTAGGTATAGAAAATGTCTGTTTAAATTACTTCAACTGACAGTCTGAAGGTGACTCTGCTTTAACAAAGCTTTATTCTCCTCCTTGTCTGGGTCTAGGTCTTTAGCCCTCTACCTTCTTGAGTTTGTGCTGCAGCTTGAGACTGAAAGAAGGTTGAAGACAAATCTCTTTTGAGCATGTCTATGTCTAGACACAAAGCCAGAAACCTTACAGATACTACTCCATTTGATTTGCACAATAGTTTGTTAAAAGACATTTTATTATCCCGATGTTATAGATGACAGAATTGATTCAGAGACAATCTGTATACTTAATCTTTAGACATGCAGCTGGTAAATGGCAGTGAGGATTCAATTCCAAGCCTGCTTAGTACAAAACCCACAATCCTAACCAATTCACTTGCATTCCTCCTAAAAATAAGTTCCTTTATGCACATTTCTGTAGCACATTCTGTTGATGTCCCTTTTCCCTTCCTATGCACCCACTCCCAGTTTCTGTATGCTTTCTAGGCAGTTGTTCCATGACTCACCAATTCAATTCATTCAACTGTTTTTGAAAACTGGCATAGTCTTACCAGTACCCACTAGCCTGTAATTATTAACAGGTGGAGGAATCCAGAAGCCCAACGCCTTTGTCTGTGCTCTATAGCTCCCCATGTGTCAGATGGAAGCTGGAGCCATCCTTGTTTGGCTTCTTTCACTTCCATGTCCTGCTATTACCCCCTTCCCCCAGCCAGTCTCCCCTGGGAGCATTTCCTTAACATACCACCTGCTCCTGAATTAATGGCTCAATGTCTCCTTCTGAGAGAACCTTGACAAAGTCAATATACATAAGGGAATTCAGGAGGCAAATACTAATAAAATCACCTTGGTATTTGGACTTCTGGGTCTACTTGCTTTTTTTTCTCTTTTTCAAAAGAAGAATTTTGTTGTTTATTGCAAAGTAATACATGTTCATTGTAAAAAAGAAAATTGGAAAGTACAGTAAGCCAAAATAAGACAGTACAAGTCAATTCATAATTCTAAAACCCAGAAAAATTACTATTTATGTGGTGGGATATTTACAGGTCTGAGATTACTATACATGTTATTTATAATGGTTTTGTTGTATACCTTTGACAAACTGTCTTTTTATGCCAGTAAGATTTCTTGTATAAAATCTTTTCTATGCTTATATAGAATTCTGTATTACAGTTTTTTGGGAATAGGACCAACCTCCCAGGTGATGTTGATCGTGATGGTCTGTGGACCACTCTCTGAATAGCACTGATGTCCTTATAGAGCCATCAAAAAACTTTGATTTGCTCTATTGGAATTTAGAGTTAAAGTTGAAATAAACTTAGTCCTTTCATACACATCCCATTCAAACATGCTGCTGAGCCATTCAAATATAAACACTTCATATATAGGAAAAAATAATAGGATTTGACATTAATGGTTTCTCTGAGATTTTGTTTGCAAATGGTTGAAGGTGATCACAGAACACCCCTGTATATGAAACTGGCATTGAGAAAGCATTGTGTTCACTAGGGGGATGGCAGAAAGTTATAGCCTCTGAAAATCTGCTGTTGCAGACTCATTCTCCTCATGCATGAATGAAACCATGGGTGGGCATTTCCCCTACTTTTAATAAATAAAGAGTCCTCTAGTTATTTTAGGAAACACTATGTCTTATTATCAGAAGCCAGCTTAAGGGGCTTCCACTGGCCAAATTAGGGAAAATTTGAGCATCAAAACAAATATGATAGTAAAAGATTATTACCCATTAAATAAGAAAGGAATACATGAGCCTATACTGATTTAAATACATAAATTAATGGGGAAATAAATTAATTAATGTAAAAGAAGAGAAAGTTCTGCCCAAAAGTAGAAAGACAACTAGAAAATGTAGAAAGAATGATGAAAATAGAAAATCATAATGACAACAGTAGTAACTATTCAGGAAAGAATCAACCATGAATGCTAAAACTGATGGGTAAAAGTTATGGGAGTAACAGGAAATTTACATAATTTCATAGGTCTATGCAGAAGATCCTGATTAAGTACACAGGGAAAATATAACTTTACAGTGGAGAAACCAGGGAGATAACACTTAAACCAAGGGATTAAAGTCTACAAAGTTTATATCACAAAGTTTATATTAACAATGTACTGAGAAGGTCTGTGGTATTCCGTTTACAATGCATCACCTGAATCTATTCTTGAAGAAATATAAGACAAACCAAAATTGAGGTAGATTTTACAAAATAACGGGCCTGCCATAGTGATATCATTAAAAACAAACAAACAGAGATTGAGGAGCCATTCCAAGCTAAAAGAGACCAGAAATTGACAACTGAACATAATCCATGATCTGGGATTTTCATTTGCTCTAAGGGATATTATTGGGACAAAGAGCAAAATCTCAATAAGGTCTGTAAACCAATTAGTTCATTCAAATATTAATTTCCTAATTTTGACAATTATAATATCACTATGTAAAATAATGTTTTGGAAATACATACTGAATTTTGGGGCAAGGGACTCAAATAGTTCAGAAAAAATTGCACGCACACATACACATACACATGCAGATATGTATATGAAGAGGGAAATAAAGTCATGTGGTAAATGGTTAACATGTAGGTAATCAGGGTGAAGAGTATACAGTAATTCTTTGTAAAATTCTTGTAACCTTTCTGTAATTCTGACATTAAGTTCAAATTAAAACATTGAAAGACAAAAAAAAAAACCTCATAAAGCAAACAAAATTTAGTTCTAATAGCAAATCTCCAGACTCCATATTACAAAATTTCATCAGCAAGCCCTGCTCCATCCTGCCTCAGAGGAAGGTGGGCCTAGTTAGCTAGTTTGTTTCCTATCCAGCCTCCTCCCTGACTCACTAGCTACTATTAAAGACACTTCCATGGGTTGAAAGTGACAGAGGGGGTAGAGCAAAGGGGTTTTATGCTATGGTGGAGACAGTTGCAATTTGGAGTGGGTGCCCACTGGAAAGGCAGTTCTAATGTGGAGTCTTTCTGTCAATAGGGCCTTTGTGGCTATTTTTAGAGCTTCTGCCCAGGATTCACTGCATTTCCTCTGCTCATGAGCTTTTCTCTCAGTAGAACAGCTCCAGCTATGCTCTGTTTTATGTCTCAATTGCATTTGGATACAGTGCCCAGTTAATGAAACACTAATTGTAGATACGGCTGTGAGAGAATGGTGCAGATGCAATGAATACCTGCAACTAGCAGACTTTATATAAAGGGCATTATCCTTCATAATTTGGCTATTCCTGAGCCTGGGCTTGGGAGCAGAACAGAGGTTTCCCTGACGAAAAAGAAATTCCACATGTGATCTGTAGGGACAACCCTTGCCCAAGAGTTTCCAGCCCGCCCTTCCCAATGACTTGTCCCGCAGGTCCCACAAGCATGTAAGTCAACCCCTCACAATCAGTAAATCTTTATTTTCTCAGTTTATCCCTCCATTCTTCCTTTCTTCCTTTCTCTTTATCTATCTATCACTTACCTATCTACACCACTGGCTCTACTTCTCTGGCAGAACCGTGCGTGACATACCTCTTTTCCAAGTATGAGTCAAGCCTCAGGCCTAAGTCCCAGTGGACACTTGTAAGGTTTCCCGGTGCAGCTCTTAAATCCTCCCTTCTCTCTTGCCCCACAAAGACCAGATTAAGGAAAAGTCACATATGATATCTTGTCATTCTCTATCATATGTATTATATATATATTTCTGGCATCTGGAGGTTTTGTCCAAAGTTTCACCTATTGCATGAATATCACTTGAACTGCTTCTCAATTGCATAACTCTGGGGAGTGAATCCTCTTTGCTGAGAAAATGTTTAATTTGTAGAAAACACATTAGATAAGGGAATACACTTTTACAATTTTTGCTAGGGGATTTAGAATCACTAATAGTATAATTGTTATCTTATTGTGGGTCTTTTGAAATGATAACTTGAGACAAAGATTGAGGTGTAAGTATTTGGGAGGTGACCTTGACAGAGACCAGAAGGGCTTGTTACCAAATGAATTACCACTGTGGGAAAATGGATCTTAATCTCGCTGGGGAGCTGTAGCAGTTGGTGAGAATGTATACCCTATAGGATCGGTGATGTTATTGAGGTGGTACCAGTTGAACTTGTTCACTCTGATTGAGGGCTATTTCCAAGATGCTCATTCTCACCTGCTTTGGCCCTACTACTCAAGTCTCAGGGTCAGAGGCAGCCTTCCCACGTTTGGAAGTCAGGCCTCAGAGTGCTACAATCCCAGAGCAGAGGAGAAATGGGCAGAGTGTTGACAGTGTCTGTTAGAGGTGACAAAGTGTATTTGACCCAAGATATCTCAAACACATCACTAATAAAGGTGTGTGAGAAACAAGCTCCTTCTTTCATGGATTAAAAACTACTTATCTTCCTACCTACTATGAACTCATTTCCATCAATTTCCACTACAATTGTATCTCTGTATAATGGTACACATCTTGTCAATTTTTTGACAATAAATTATGTTTATAATCCAAATGCCATTTATTTCACTACATTCTTAAAGGCAACTGGGGGATTTACCAGAATGACATATAATTCATTACAAAATAAAACACATCCTTAAACAGACACATACACAGACACACACACATTCTCTAGACAGCAGGACAATACTGGGGCATGCTCTCCCTGTGCCTCTTTAAGTTTCAGGCTTCTTACACTATTTTTGTGCTAACTCTGAATTGAAGAGCTGCTTTTACATGTGGTTTTCTTTAATTTGCTCTACAGGACCAAGGAAGATGCTGCAGCACACATCACGTCTCTCAAAGCCTCTCATCAGAGGGAAATAGAGAAACTCCTTTGCCAAAATACAGTAGAAAATTCTTCTTCCAAAGTAGCCGAATTAAATCGCAAACTAGCAACTCAAGAGGTAATGACTTTAACAAACTTTCTTTGGCTTTAACATGATTGTTTTCAGGACTGTTAACTGAACATTATTTAGCTGGGAAATATTTTTTACTTTACTTTTTTGAGGTTGGTAATAGAAATGTGAAATGATTGGCTTTTTTGTTAATAGGACAAGATGCCATTACCATATGCTTAACTATTGTACTTTAAAATCATACCCTTTAAATATCTGATTTTACAGTTTTGTTCCTACATTTCTCAAACAGGTCTTCTCCTAAGTTAGTTGTAATGGATGGTCAAGACCTTGGTACTTGAACTGGAATGTTGAACCATCTCCCTCCTTCCCAAGCCCCAGCTGACAAGTAATTATCCTAGTTGTTCTTCCTGCCCCATTACTTTTCATTCATTAAACAAATAATGATTCGGCGCCTACAGTCAGGCACTGGGGACAAAATAATGAACAGAGGGATAGACACAGTTGTAGCCACAGTTCTAGTATTACGAAGCATAGTCTCTAAGAATTACCACAGGGTAGCTGACAGCTCATCCACATTTCCTTGAATAAATGTATTTTCCTTCTTGGTTAGTGTATATATCTACTTGGAATATCTATGAATATCTACTGTTTGGCCCATCTTCTGTGCTTGTTAGCAAGGTGAAAACACAGCATTAAAGTAGAATTTATATCCCCAACTTATTTTCAAATCATGTCCCCAGAAAAGAAAAAGGAAAAAGCACATAGGGCAAGAAGGTAGCAGTTTGTAAATCAAGTTGAAGAATATATGAATATTCATTGTACTCTTCTTTTCTGTAGGTTTTAATTGTAAAACACAAGCTGAGGGGGAAAAACTTCAAGAATAATTATCTTACCACCACCTCTCTCATCAATAATTATTTAATAGTCTTGATTAAAAACAAATCCCTTAATTGGGGAAGTTTAAATATGGACTGGATATTAGATATTTTGAAATTATCATAAATTTTCTTAGGTATAAAAATGTTATTGTGGTTTTATGAGAAAATGCCCTTATAAGGATGCATGTTGAAATATTTGGAGTATTTAGGGTGAAATGTAATGAGGTTCGTAATTGAATTTCAAGTAGCTTGGAAAAATGAATATTTTAATGAAAAATGTAAAGTGCTTTACAAAAGTAACCATTATACAGCTTTGCAAATAACTTGTATAGCTTCTTCCCACGTAGGAGTGGGATGGTAGTGGGCAGTGTAAACATTGTACCAAACGACTACAGACTGAGGAGCAGTCCGGGAGAGGCAGGAGGAGTGGTGGCATTGTGCTGGAGGGCCCTGAGGATTACTTTCCCAGAGTTTTAAGTGTAACATGGTAAACTGTGTGTTAAATGAAAGTCAGCACAGTCTGATCATAAAAATAGTAATTTTTTTAAAAAGCATTAGAGATAAGAGATAAAAATGTTCCCTAGGTTTTTTCAGTTTCTTGATGGAAGTATTTATAAATTTTGGTTTCTTTGTCTAAAAATACAAGTGACAGTTATTTCTAAAAAAAGACAGATATTATTAGGCTCATGTTGTCTTTATTCAGTCAATTGCCCTTTAATAGAAACATTGTCCTACTTATGCCCAGTGTTACAAAGATAAGTGGTCACTTTTCAAAATGCTTGGACTTTATGGAGGTTTATTTTAAAAGGTATTTTTTTGGAACTTCAGAAGAAGAGTACTAAAGAAACCAAATAGATTATATTCATTACTTTGTGATATATATGATGCTTTATGTTAAATGTTGAAAAAAACAAAATAAATTTATTCTGTGAGTTTAATTAATTCAACAGACTTTATACTTGTGGCAGTTTATTTCTGACATTGAATTTGGTCATTTAAAAATATTAAGATCTTTTTAATATTTTAGAACAAAAAAAGTTGGCTTTCTTTGTGTCTCAAATAATGTTCAAGGAAAAACTTATTTACATTGTACTTCTAACATAATTTCCTAGGTACTAATAAAGCATTTCCAAAATCAGGTTAATGAGCTGCAGGGTAAACAGGAGTGTCTTGTAGTTTCTCAAGTTCGAGAAGAAATTCTACAGAAAGAAGTAAGAAATAAACAAAATATTGAGCCAGCGTAACATTTCTTAACTGTTTCAATCATATTCATCTTTCTGTATAAATGTTTAACTTAAATGCAGAAATAGATATAACCTGAAAATACCTGTCACCTGTCAAGAACATATTTGTGACTTCTTTATGGAAATAATGCTTTCTCCAGATGAAGCTCAAATATTTAAGTGATTAACTTATATATTTGTGTTTGTTGTTGAGATTTTCTGGGCAGTGGGGAATTGAATGGTTAAAGTCATTTCTACATTAAGTACTACACTATTTAATTTGGTAAAGAAATAGGTAAAGCAATCATGGCAGTGATGCTGGATTACCCAGGACAGTATCACCACAGGAATTAGATCTCCCTGCAAATACACCATTTTTATGACTCTAAGATCCTTTTGTTTCTAGAAAGTCCAAAAAAACAGGTAAGCTGTGCTTTCTATTCTTTGAAGCATATACAGCATTTTTTTATTACTAAGGGATTTATTAAATTAGCACAAGCAAACCAACTAATTGTATTATGAAATGTTAATATGTTTGTGAGTTTCTCCTCATTGATTTCTTGTTTCATACCATTATGGTCAGAGAAGATACTTGATATGATTTCAGTCTTCTTGAATTTGCTAAAACTTGTTTTGTGGCCTAACATATTTTCTGTTCTCAAAAATGTTATGTGTGATTGAGAAGAATGTGTCTTCTACTGTTGCTGAATTGAATATTCTGTCTATGTCTGTTATGTTCATTTGGCTTATGATGATGTTTAAGTCTCCTGTTTCCTTATTCTGTTTCTGGGTGGATTATCCATTGTTAAGCGTGAGGTATTAAAGTTCACAACTATTATTGTACTGCTGTTTATTTTTCTTTCTAGCATTGATTTTTTTGCTTTATATATGTGGGTGCTCCAAAGTTGGATGCATAAATAATGGATATGATTGGTGTATCTTCTTGAAAGATTTACCCCTTTACCATTATATAATGACCTCCTTTGTCTCTTTTTACATTTTAGTTTAAAGTCTGTTTTATGTAAGTATGGCTACACCTGCTTTGTTTTGTATACAATTTGTTCGAATGTCTTTTTCCATCCCTTCACTCTCAGTCTATCATTGGATCATGTTTTTGTTTGTTTTTTTAAATCTATCCTGCCATTTTGGGAGTTTTTTTTTTTTCTGGAGACTTTAATCCTTTTATATTTAAAGTAATTACTGATAGATAACAATTTGCCATTGCTATTTTGTTCATTATTTTCTAGTTTCTTGTTTCATATCCTTCCATTTTTTGGTGTGTTTTGATTTTGGTACCAGTACGCTTTTACTTCTTTATAGTCATCTGTGTAAATACTAAGGTTTTTCCCATGTGGTTACCATGAGGCTTACATAAAATATATGTAACGTAATCTTAAATTATAACACCCTCTTTTAAGCTGGTAACAAGTTAACTTCAATAGAATTCCTAAACTTCACATTTGTACTTCTCCCTCTCCCAGTTTAGGTCATTGATGTTACGGTTTATATCTTTTATACCATTTAATAGCAGATTATTATAACTATGGTTATTATTACCACAGTTGTTTAACTCTTAGAGTTATAAATGAATTATGCCCCACCATCACCATATTACAAAATCTAACTTACTCTATATATACCATTACCAATGAGTTTCACGTTACCTTCTTAAGTTTTTGCAGCATTAGTTACCATTCTTTTATTTCCCCTCAAAGAATCCCCTTTTTGTAAGGCAGGTGTAGTGGTGATGAGCTCTTGCAGCTTTTGTCTGTTCAGAACCTATAGTTCTGAGGAACAACTTTCCTATGTATAGAATTCTTGGTTGACAGTTTCTTTCAATACTTTGAATCTGTCACCTTGTTCTCTGCCCTGAAACATTTCATTTAAGAAATCCACAGATAGTCTTATGGTAGTTCCCTTGTATGTAATTTTTTCCTCTTCTCTTGCTGCTTTCAAAATTCTTTGTCTTTGACTTCTGACAATGATGGTGTGTCTCAGTGTAGCCCTGTTCAGGTTCAACCTCCTTGGGGTCTGTTGGGCTTCACAGATCTGGATATCCACTTCTCTCCCCAGATTTGGGACATTTCAGCCATTATTGCTTTAGGTATACTTTCTGACTCTTTCTCTTCCTCTGGAATTACCATAATGTGGATATCGTTTCTTTTATTTGTGTCCATTCAGCCCCATAGGCTTTCTTCATTTTTATTTTCCTTTTTGCTCCTCTGACAATTTTAAATTGCCTGTATTCTGGATTGTGGGCTCTTGTCTTCTATATGATTGAGTCTGCTGTTCAGGCTCTCTTGGATTCTTTAGGCCAGTCATTGTATTTTCAGCTCGAGGATTTCAACTTGTTTTGGAGTTTTTTGATGGTTTTGATTTCTTTGTAAAACTTCTCATTTTGTTCATGTAATGTTTTTCTAATTTTGTTGTCTGTATGTTCTTGTTCTCTAAATTTAAGAGTTCCTTGATAGTTCATAGATGTCCATTTCTTTATGGTCAATTCCTAGAGCTTCATTACTTATCTTGATGGTGGTTTACAGATTTTCATGGTCCTTGATTCCTTTTTCGTTATCTGCATATTTGAGAAACCAGTCTTCTCTTTAATATGTTACAGGTCCGACTTGGCAGAGACAGTTCTTCCCAGTCGGCTCAGTTTGGGCTTCTGGGTGTGTCTGCTGGTAACATTCCTGGGCAGGAGGAGCGTGCCCTTGGGGCCTGTTTTTGGGTGAGGCCACTGCCCCAGCTCTCAGGCTGGGTGAGTGGGGTGCCGGCTGAGCGCAGCTGGGTGAGATTTCTGCCTTGGTTCCCTGCCAAAGTGAAGCAGGAGGACGATGGCCTAGTATGGAATTCTTGGTTGGATTTTGTCCACTGGTAGAAAACCCTGGTTGCCTGAGTTCTCTGGTCAGGCTCACTAGACTCTCATGACTGAGGGTTATATTCAGCAGTAGGTGGGGTTATGGGCCCCATCAAGGCCTGCTCAGCTCAGTGTTTGGAGACCCAAACCAGGCAACACCTGTGCCGTGAATTCTCTGACCAGACGAGGTGGGTGAGAGTCTGTGCTCTCTTCAGGTGCCTTTGTAAGCAGGGCTGTTGCAGGTTTGCACAGCTTCCCTTGTGTTTCAGTTGGACCCCGTGGTCGGACAGGCTGAGAGCTGTATGCAGCAGTGGGCAGAGCCTTCAGTCAGTCTCCTTCCTGGTTCAGGTGGTGGGAGACCGACCTCCAATACCAGTGAGGTTCTTTGTCTGTGGTACTGACCCAGTCAAGCAGCCCAAGTACCCTGGCCAGACAGGTGCCTGGCTTTGCTCTGCAGTCAGCTCTGACTTCCATACGCTGCTCTAGTGTCGCTGGGCTACCCAGCTTTCCAGATGTTCCGTCAACTTCCTGGTCAGGTGGGGCTGCGATCGTCACTTAGAAGTGGTCCAGACCATGACTTAGCTCACATGCCTGGGAGGGTACAGACCAGGCACCAGGGCTGGCAAATCTCTTCATTCAAGGACCCAGATCAGGAGACCTACACCCTCACCTCACTACCTTGTCAGACGGCACCACTGACTTGGTTCTACACGTGAGCAAAACTGCCAGTTGGGATCACTGTCCGGGTGCTGTAGGTCTGCCATGGAACTCAGTCTGCCATGACCCCAGTGCCAGGGTTGTCACCAGCCCCTCCCTACTTCTCCATCACAGTCAGACTCCCAGCAATCAGTCCTCACAATTTCCCCATAATCTCCTTGGGACAAGACCAGAGTTGCAGCTTCCAAGAAGTAATACACATGCTGCGGAGCTGGATCTCCATCCTGGGCTCTCCTTTCCACCTGTAGGAGCCACAGGCTTGGGAGATCTCTGTCGGTGAGATGTGCACCAGCCTGGCGGAGGGGCGGTGTGGGCAGCATGCAGCTGCTCCTCCTACTTTTCTAATACGGTGTGTCTTGGTCGGGCTGGTGCAGGAGTGCTTCAGCCCCAGCCTCGTGTTCCAGGATTCTCTTGGTAGTGGTGTCTTGTCCATGAATAGCTGTTAGCTGTTCCTGTGAAGGGGAGCAGGAATAACCTATGTCACCATCATGACATCACCCATCCCATCTTTATATCTAATATGTCTTTATTACCACTTTTGCTATACATTTGTATAATAGGCAAATAGTAATAATAAACATTTGTTCAGTAGGTACTAGGCACTGTGTGAAGTGCTCTGTGTTTCTCAGCATAACCCAAAAGTATTGTTGTTATTCTCCTTTTATAGATGAAGACATTGATACTACAAAAAATGACATAACTTCTCTGAGGTTTACCAATCAATACGTAGAAGTGCCAGCATTAGAATCTAGGGCCTCTGATACTAGCTCCCAGGCTCCCAATTACAGTTCACCAGTGCCTTCCCTTTGGACATTCAGGCTGTTGCCATTTGGTACCACATAGGTTTTCTGTAGTATCAAGTAGCAGGAAGCATTTTTGATCATGCATTTTTTGTCTGTTTGCCCGTTTACCTCCAGAGAATAATAAATTCACTGAACTACAAGGATTTTCTTAAAAATATTCAACTTTATACTCTTAAGAGTTACTTTTAAATGAGTACAAATGAAGGGACATTTTCTCTTTGTCTGGAACCAAGTTTCTAAATTTATGTAATTTACAAATGAATAATCAGTGAAAGGTGAATTCATTAATTAATTTATGAATAATTGTTAAACACTCTCTGTCATGCATAGCTACAGGTGGTGGGGATACTGAGAACAAAGTAGACAAATGCCTGCTCTCATGGAGCTTATGCTTTACTTGGGGAATCAGACAATAAATGTAAGGTTTGATAAATAAAAGTAACTGAGACAACATGTATAAAGTACATAGCATAGTGCCAAGCACATGATAATGTCATGACTTAGTACTACTTGTCATTTAAGAACCAGTTTAAACCTAGCTGCGTCCAGTGAACAGGCCTCCACTCTAAGTTCTGTGTCCCTCCCGCATCCCCATCTCTCCACCGTAGCGCACCCGATGAGAATTCCTATCCATCTGACTGCTCTCACTGGGCTAGAACTTCCCGTCTGGTGTCCCAGGAGTGGGTTACCTATGGATCACGAGATAGTAATAGCTGGAAGTGTTCTTATGACAAACTCAGAATCGTTTAATCTTTGTAAAGTTGACAGAAAAGTTGATATTTGACCAGTATGTGTATGACAATGCCTCTGACAACTTCCTTAGTTCAATAATCCTTTTGTTTTGTTTTGTTTTGTTTAGCTACAATTTTTAATAATCATTGTTTTAGCATATAAGATTTTTACACCCAGCACCCATCACCACAGCATGTTCTGTAAGGCCTCTCCCTGACCCTTCTGCAAACCATCCCAATTCCCATCTACATGTTTCTTTTTTCACTGATGATGCCATTAGGGAATGTTCCACATTTAAAGTATTTAGACTTGACTCACAAGATTTAATTTGCTTGTATTTTCACATTTTTTTAACTTACTTAGGAGAAGTATGTGGGGTTTTTTGTTTTGTTTTTTACTGTTATTGTTATTAGGTAAAACATTGAATTTGTTCATTTTAACCATTTTCATTTGCTTGTTTTTTACTTTGCCTTTTGATGTTAACAATTACCAAATTATCATAATTATATAGCATAAAGAAAATGCAATTAATTGTTCCACTAAACCCAATTTAGAGATTCATCACATCTTCTCCATTTTACTCCTGGTGCCCCCAAAATATTACCATTTTCTCTGTGAGCCATGGTATGAAAAAGGAGGTACTGCACTACACCAACCCTCCATGAGGACAGGGACTGTGTCTTTAGTGTCTGCATCCTCACGACCTAAACAGCAGCCAGCACAGAAAGAGTTCAGTACTTCATTATCTCTACTTTATACACATACATTTATTTGTGGAGTGAATTATTATAAATTATAGCAATAAGATCTAGAAGAGAATTGCAAATAGAATTATAGGGAGTGGACTAAAGAAGGATCCATAGTTTTTGAATTCCTTCTGTGTGTTGGATGCTTTCAATGTGTTGTTTAATCCCAAAAGTAATCACCTATTAAACACTTTATGGCAAAGCTGAATACAGCAAAGAGAATGCCCAACTTCATTTTGAGTGCCATAACCAGCCTGGTATATGTGGGAGGGAGAAGGCAGTCCAGTCATCTGGAAACTTTTGGAACATGAGGTCATTTCAGGGCTAGGATGAACCTTTACTTCCTAGATGTATGGAATGAAAGCTATTAATTATTCTAACTACTCAAGATACCTTTGTAACAATAAACCTCTTATCTAGAGAAGTTTATACAGAGAAGAGGTGATGAACATTTTTACCCCTTAAGACTACCTGTTAAAAAATTACTTCCTTATCATAGTTTTTCATTTACTTCTTACCTCAATTTTAGATAGCAGAACTCTTAGAGGAATTGAAAGAAGCCAAAGAAAACCATACACCAGACATGAACAAAGAGAGCAGGAACTTCAACAGGTAAAGTAGTAAATCACATTTACATATTATAAAATTCACCACTTTTAAGTATCTCTAGCTTGGTATAGTATTGTCATCCCTAGCAAACTTCTTATTGTTTCCACTGGGTATTGAGTTTATAAAAAAAATAAATGCATACGTTTTGAGACAAAATAAGACTTTAAATCTCAAATACCTAAATATTGGTATGCCTTTTATCTGGAAAAATAGAGAAGCAACTTGTATCATGTTCTTTCTTAATTACTGATTGGTACTTAAAAAGTTTGGCATTTAAACCCTGGGAACAGGGCTTTGTTTGGGAAACATGTTCCATATTCAAGTGATTTCAATAAATGTTTGTAAGAAATCAATTTACATTAAAATGTGATCATTAAAAATAATATGTGCCTACCACTAGTAGTATGATTACTGCACTTAATTACAAACAAATTAATTAATAGAAATTAAAAATAGCAGAACTAAGGGCATGATTTATTTTTAGGTGCCAGCCTTGGTGCTGTTATTAGCTTCACATAAACAGTGTATTAATCTGCTTGGGCTGCCACAACAAAGTATCATAAACTGGGTGGCTTAAACAATAGAAATAACATTTCTCACAGTTCTGAGGCTGTAAGTCCTATGTCAAGGTTACAGCTGACTCAGTTTCCAGTGAGAACTCTCCTCTTTGATTTGCAGGTGGCCCTGCCTATGTGTGTGGACTGCAGGCTGTGGGAGGGGAATAAAGAAAGAGTTCTCTGATGCATTTGCTTACAAGGACACTGCTGCACTCTGATCAGGGCCCCACCCTTATTGCTTCAGTTAACTTTAATTAGTTCCTTACCCTAAATGTGGCCACACTGTGGGTTGCAGCTTCAATAGATGAATGCGAGTGGGGGCACACAAAAATGTTCCATCTGTAACAGTGTAAATTTATATATTCTTTGAAAATAAAAAATATATACATGCAAAGCTTTATGGTTGACATGAGGTCCACAGAGAAACCCTAGTTCTATTAAATCATATCAAGATTGTAGCTTTTCATCATTATAGGAACTTTGAAATATAAAATGGAGAACAAAGAGGTTAATGTAACTGATTTCTCATTCTTACTCTTGGACTTTTATTTGTGGACTTCTCTTAAAAAGATGGAATACCAAGAAAACATCAGCCTTAGCAGAACTAAGGCATCATAGTGCATCACCATTTCAACAGACATCCCATATATGTATAGGACTTTGTAATTCCTGTTCTAGAAAATGGTTGTAAGTTGATAAATTTGTTTAACATTACCTTTTTACTTGTTATAAGCACATACTTTATTATAGCTTTATCGCCAATAATTGTTATAGTCTTGTTATAAATTCAACTAATATGTACACAAATAAGTTATATAGTACACAGTACAATTCTAAAATATATACAGGATTATTTTTCAACAAATACATGTATATCTTAAATATATAATTTCAATATGGTCTACAAAATTGGCTTTT